AAATCAGGATCGACTGTGCTTCCTTGCAATAAGCCATGCATGCAGCCTGAAGATCCTTATCTGCTTCCTGGCAGAGCTCTTCGGAGTGACAGACGAAGCTGAAAGGCTTGATCCGAATGCTGTGGGGAATAACCCCGTTCGCCTTCTGCTCTTCCATAAAATTGTATTGCAGCATCAGCGTACGATGTTTCAGGAAGTTTTTCTTAAAGTCCTTGATAGCTTGCAGCTTAAACTCGTTAAGGCAAGGAGGAGTTGCCTGCTTTTCAAGGAAAAGGTTGTTAACGTCACCAAGGAAATCAAAAGAGTCCAACATGACAGTATCATGAATCTCGTGAGCAGAATCCTGACGTGCAGTAGCCATAGTATCAGTAAACTTCAAAGGCCGATCAGCAGGCTCTGGAGAAGGTCTGACAGCAGGGACTGCAGCGGTGACAGCAGCGACTGGAGTGTCGCAGCCTCTCTTCTTGCTCAGTCAAAAAATAGGAAGCTCTGGATTGAATTCGAAAGGCACACGCTCTTTATCTTTGCGATTGGTCCTCGGGTCTGCTTGCCTCGAGTGTCGCGTTGATTTCTGAGCATGGTTGTCCTTGCTTGTGTCGGTGTCAGTTGCATTGGTTGCAACAAAATGGTAGTTGGCCATCGCAGTAGTGTCTTTTTGGAGTCCAATAGAGCACCAAGTAGGTGCCATGGTTTCAATACGTGGCAGCAACTCTTAGGGATTGACACCTTGAAAGTTGTTTGTGTTGTGCTTGCGTGTGTGTAAAAACACTCTTGTAAAAAATACCGTGGTAACCGGTTTCGGCGTGTCAGCCTTCTTCAGTCCAGAAAGGGTTCTACAAGAAACCAAGCACTACTTATAGCCTAGAAATGTCACCGAGCAACACTCGCGCGGGAAAACCTCGCGGAGGAATTTGGGGACGAAAGGAAAAGCTAGATAATAGGAAACAGTAAAAAACTACTGTACTCTAGCACTTGTAAGCAGAAATTAGATAATTTCCAACCCTCTTAGGTAGCCTCCATGCGATTATAGCTCTCCTTGCAGAAAAAGTGTCGTGTGCAATTGTAACGAGGTGACTTTTGAGTCGACTCAAAAGTCACTCCAGACTAGCCATCTTGGCTCGGACCCTTGCTCATGCCTCCGCCACAGCCTTTGAGGCTCCTGTAAACTGGTGTTCATTGTGAGTGAGGTTTGTGTGTGTCGTTATTGATGGTTCTTATTGGCGAGGTGTGACGACAGAGCAAGAGTTAAGATGCATGGTGTTTCGTTTTGTTTCTTGCTTGATGTCGTCGTTCATGTGGTGCTCCGGGCCGGTATCGCCTTCCACCCGTCGCACCTTTGCCTATCCAACCCCATTTTGGCGCTTTTGCCGCTGGTTCAATGGCAAGGCAGGGTGAATGTAGGGACTGCTGAAGTGCACCAGGACAGAGTCGCCTAAGACAGCAGCAATACTGGCGGTGAAGCAGGTCAGTTGCGTGCAAGTAAGGTGGAGGCAGGAAGGAGGGCAGACCTGTGGATATGACGCTCATTGTGCCACCAAACCAAAGGATTAGTTGCACGATGTTGGAAGTGGGCAGGAGGAAGGTAAGGTGTGGTAGGGAAATTTTATGGCAGAAGAAGCTGTGGTTGTTGTGACCTCGTGTCAGCGTGCACAGAGCTGCAAGCTGCTCCTTACGTGCTGGTCATGCGGGGCTTTTGGGCTGCATGTGAGGATTTAAGAGGTGCAACCGCATGGCTTGGCATCATCACATGCCGTGTGTGAAGGAGTGTTCTGAGCATGCCTTTGTTGCTACACCCACAGGGCAGAGCGATGTGGACACTGGAGACTGGTGAGGAGACTAGTGTGGACAGTCTCCTCACAGGTCTCAAATTTCTATCCCCCCCACCTTCTCCCTCCCCTCCCACCTCACCGCCCTGCACCGCAGCGCAACGCAATTCCATCACCATACTCAATGAATCACTTCACTGGAATCGCCACATCCATCCACCCAGGTCTCACATCCCGCGTCTCCCATCGCTCTGCCACCGCAGCCATTCTTCTGCCATCCAGTTCCATTTTCCTTTATACAAAGCCTCTCGTCCCATCTTCCAACACCCCTCTCTTTCTCTTCTACCCATCCCCCCATCACCTCTTTTTTCCAACCCCCCCCCCCCCCCCCCCCCCTCCCCCCACACAGCCCAACAGCCAGCTTCTTGACCTTGACTTTTCTTTTGATTGGTAGGTACGCATGAGAATGGGTTGAACCCGGACCAGCATGAGTCACGACGCAAGCATGGTGGGTGGGGAGAGCGGGTCGAGTAGCACTAAGAGCCGACCACCCTCATAGCTGCTCATGACAAGTGTCGCTTGAGTCCTTTCAACACCCCATTCCCCTGCATTTTCCCTTGGTCTTTCTTTGTGCTTCACCTCACTCCCGTGCTCTGTTGTTTCCATTCCATCCCGTTTCCCTTCTACTCTCCCTCCCCACCATTTCCCTTTATTCTCACCTCTCTCGCTTCCCCATCTCCAAGTTCACCAATCACCCCATTCAGCTCTATAATGCCTGCGCTCATCCTTCCGATCCTCTCCTACTCCCCTGTACCAATGTCAACTGTTTAATTGTACAACTCCATCTTTCATATGTCCTCCCCTTCTTGCGATTCACCTGGTGCATGATTCAACTGTCCCGCCTCATCAGTCCTCCCCTCCTTCTCTCCCCGCCATCACCCTCCCATCTGCTCCCCACCATCCCAGCCAAGCAGCACCAAAGCCATCGCACCCTCAGGCACCACCTCTCCCTCCCACCCAGATCACCTACTCCAGGGCCGCCTGTTTTGAGACGTCTCAAAACACCCTCAGGCACCACCTCTCCCTCCCACCCAGATCACCTACTCCAGGGCCGCCTAATATGCTGTCACTCCTGCCCTGTTCAGCTCATACATTTCTCAACCCACTCTCTCTCCCCCTACCCCCACCCTCCCCCCGTTGCCCTTCGCAATTTCATCTCCCCTTCCTTGGCGGCAGCAAAAAGGTGCCACATGCACTCCTGTGTTTCAACGATTCCATCCGTCACCCTCCCTGACCCCTCCCTTCTACTACCCTTCCACTACCCTACCCCTCCCAACAGTGGGATGTGCGCTTGCAGTGATGGCATAGCGTGGAGGGAGGTGGGCCTGGAGGAGAGGGTGATTCATGGAAGAGGTGCTTGGGGTACGGTCACAACAAGCATGGCTACAGTAGCAGACACTAGCCATGCTTGTGAGTTACATGGGCAACAATGCTTGGGTGTTTTAGCACAAAGTGAAAGTGATGTGACATATTATCCCATACCCCACAATGCGCCTCCGACTACTTTGCTGTCCCTAAATCATTTCTGCTGCCGCAGATCACATAAGCCATTCTTTCTCTTGCTGCCTCATCCCCTCTGTCCTCCCCATGGGCTCCTGATCTTACTGACAGCACGGTGCATCAGTAGGCCTGCTGTTGTCTAGGCCCCATCTTACTACTCTACCGTTTCCACATCAATATTGTCCTTGCATATCATCAATGCCCTCCACTTTCTCAGCAGAATCATCTCGAGCTCGAAGTGACATGATACGTAACAGACATACTGAGAAGTGGTGGCAGCATGGTGGTGAAACAGAACGTCCGTGGACTATATAGTATCATCTTGAGCTCCAGGGGACACAATAAACGTGCCATGCAACAGCACAAACAGAATGGGAGGAGTGTGAAGCTGGAATTAGGGGGTGCATTTGCGACATCTGCCCTAGTGCAAGGATGCCTCTGTACCGTATTCCAATAATATCTCACCACCACTTACATTGATAAATTATATGAGAAGAGTAGAATCTGATAAGGCTAGCAGCCAGATTCATTTGCAGCTTACATGCATATAGCCAGTCATGCAGTCTCTACCATTTGTGAGCTGTTCATTCATCCTGAGATAGAGAAGGCACAGGTTCACTTACTATGGTAGTTTGTAGACAGGGAACGGCACGCTGACCAGCATGTTCTTGAAAATTTCCTACCTCCAAACCACAGGTATCAACATGCCAGGCCAATCAATCATTCCTACCAATCACAGTGCACTATGGTTGGTCAATGCAGCAAGATGCCGATCACCCTAGCGAACACAATAGCCTCAAAATCCATGCATCCTCTTGCATGCCCCTTCTGTCGTTTAATATGCCTACACACCGCCTACTCTTGTACATACAAGAATCAACCCTAGGTTGCACTAGCTGCACACATGCAAAGCTTTGCCAAGCCAGCTTGCACACGCCTCCATATGCTCCCTTTATTCTTCACACCCCTTGCCTCCATACACCTTTCGTCAGCATCTCCTGTCAGCTGTAGCCGACTCTGCCGTCCCCTTCGTCTCCCTCCCCTCCACATCACTTCAATTACCTACCTCTACCTGTCCACCTAAGCACATCCTTATTCGAAAATGTATCTCCATTTGGCAGCCGGAGAGTTGTCAGCTTCGTCAGGGCACTCAGCTGCTGCAGCCCATCAGCCATGACTGCCGTATCACGCACCCAAAGATTCTCCAACTCCGCCAGCCTCCCCACGTGCACCATGCCAGCGTTTGTCACACCCTTGCATTCAGAAAGGTTCAGCGATTTGAGGGAGGAAAGGTGTATCAGGTTTTGCAGACCAGCGTCAGTCACCTTGGTCCTCTGGAAATAGAGGTGCTCGAGACCCGTGAAGGAGCCAATTCCTTCCAAGGCAGTATCTGAAACATCTACAAAATTCAGGCTTAGCTTTTTCAGCAGTGGCATCCTGTAGAGGTGCTTGATGCCCTCTGCACTGAAGCCTGAGGCAGAATTCATGTCAATGCTTGTCAGATGAGTCATGGTGGACACATGGGCGAGCATGGCGTCTGAGAGGCCGCTAAGACTCTTCAGATTCAGATCGGTTTCTTTTAATGCTGACTTGATTGCCTGGAGGAAATGGGTGGAGAGGGAATGAATGTCAAGAACAGGATAGTAACAAACCATTTGTGCAACGTGATCTAATTCATTGAGCACTCACCTCCCACACAGTCTTCGTGTTCCCTTCACTGTCCCTGATTTTCAGCTCAACAGTCAACTTTGGATCTTGGCTGATAACATCCTCGTGTAAAGCCAATTTCCCCTTCACTGCTGCCAGTTCTCTCTCCCTCTCCTCCACCTGCCCTCTCATCTCCACCACTCGTCTCCTCCCAGCCTCTTCCAAACCCCTCTTCGTCTCCTCCACCTCTCCCCTCATCTCCCTCATCTCTGCCACTTTTCTCCTCTCAGCCTCCTCCAACTCCCCCTTTAAAGCTGCCAGAGTTCTCTCCCTCTCCTCCGCCTCTCCTTTCAGCTCACTCAAATCCTCTGCTCTTCGTCTCTCAGCTTCCTCCAAATGACATTTCAGAATATTCGTCTGCCCCCTCAAATCTCCACTCAACGCTGTCAATTCTTCCCTAAGCTCACTCAGCTCCTTTTTAGCCTCCACTTGCTCTGCCATAACTTCCTTGTGTTCAGCCAGCTCTCCTTTCACCGCAGCCAACTCCCCCCTCACTGCTGCCAGCTCCCTCTCCCCCCACTTCACCTGCCCTCTCATCTCCCTCATCTCTGCCATTTGTCTCCTCTCAGCCTCCTCCAACTCCCCTTTGGCTCTGATCACCTCCTCTGCTCGCCCTGTAACAACGCTCTTGTGTTCAGCTAATTCCCCCTTCACTGCAGCCAACTCCCTCCTTGTCTCTTCCAGCTGCACGCCAAGAACCCGCATTCTCATCTCCATCGCCTCTTTCACCATGTGTGCTGTGGCCATACTTGCCATGACAGTTCCAACAGCCTCACTCACACTCTGCACCCCACCTTTCCACTCCTCCCTCTCCTTTGATAACTCCGCTCTCATTATCTGCTCTCCCTTCCTACCCTCCTCTCTCAGATCTCTCATATCCGACTCTCTTTTACTCTCAACCATATCCCATTTCTCCACCATACTAGCCTTGTGTTCAGCCAACTCCTCCCTCACTCCACTCAACTGCTCTTTCACTAGTGCCAACTCGTCCCCCCTCATCTCCACCACAGCAGCAGCCGCCGCACTCTTCTCCCCCACAGCACGCCTCCACTCATTCACCTCATTATCCAACACCTGATTCCTCTCCTCCAGCATCACCACTCGCTCCTTCTGCCGTACCACCACCTCCTTAACTGCGGCCAGCTCCTCCTTAACTGCTGCTACCTCCCCTCTCACTAATCCGAACAGTGCTTTCACTGCTTCAGTTATCGCATTTGCCCCTTGTTCTACAGCCATGAGTGCGGCTTCAGTTCCACCGACCGACTCCCTCCCTTCTGCGGGGTGCCCAAAACGATGGCTCTGTGGCATGTCAACGAAATCAAGTGGAGGTGAATAGGTAAACAGGATACACACATGGAAAGAAGGAGCAGGAGGGAGTGACATGTCCACATAGACAAGCATTTGGCGAACGAGTAAATACTTGCCTCATCTATTTTACTCAAAGTGGTCACACGATTTTCGCTCTGTGTGGAGAACAACGCAGGGCAAGCGTTGCGTTCTGCGTTCAAACGCAGAACGCAGAACGCAGACCGAAATGCTTGGCCGATTTTTATTGGGGCAGATCGAAAAGAATTGACATTCGCAAATTCGACTCCACAGGGCAACCCACAACAACGAAAGATTTACTCGCCGATTGTGTCTAGTCTATATACAAGTAAGCAATGAAATCAGAAGATTAAATTGCGAAGTTTGATATATAATATGTGAGCTGCTACAGCCCATGGGAAGCAATATATGTCTAGGAAACAGTAGTTTCAGAGAAAGACTGCATGGAGGAAATGTAATGGAGGGACTTCAAACGACAATGGCATAAGGATTGGGATATCTAATGATGACGGGACTCAACGCAGTGTCCAGTCACACATGTCGCTTCATTTTCTTGACAGTGCATTATGTAAACATCGGTGTTCAGTTTACCCTGAGCATAACACCTCCATGCAGGGAAAACAGCTGATCATCATCGTACTCAAAAACATGTTCATTCAATCCAATGCCTACACGACCGTTACTGCTCTTTCTGATTCTTTGGCTGGGTAACCAGACCAGAGTTCATTCGACCAGAGTCCACGAAAGTGCTGAACAGACATCCGTGCGGTAACAGGTGCTGCACAAGCGTCATTACGTGGACACGTGTGTGTGATTATGGGACCCGTAGCAACGTCAGGTCACAAATCACTCGATTTTCTTGGCAATGCCATGTTCTGTTTGCCTCACAAGTCACAAGTCAATGAGTACCAGATCGGCGTTCAGTTTGCACTCATAAGAGCATGGAAGCGTGACGCCTCCATGCATGAGTAAACGAATGATTATTACGTTTTTCCTTTCAGCGCTAAAAGCTCAGTGGGAACGTGGAACGCAAACGGTCGGGAGGGCTGAGTTCAAGCGAAACAGTCCATCAACGCACTCAAGCGCATAGGCCAAAGGAGGAGTATGAGGGTACTGCCGGAATGCGAGGCGAAATGAATGGAATGACGAGACGGTCTTACCTCAGCCTGTTTCTAGGGTTTCGTAGACTGAAATGTCGGGAGTCTATGAAGCCTAAGAGTTGTCACTCGAATCTAAGCTCCGCAATGAGCGTGGAAAAACTTCAAACTCCGCAGTAGTTGTGTACTTCACTCGATGAATATGAGATCTCTATAAGTGAGACAGGGGCCAAACGACGGAGGCTCCCACTGAGCGACTCTCAGGGAAGTATGGTGATGAGTATGGAGTGACTTTGTCAGAGGAATTCACCTCAATTGGTTTTGCGGGCTGTGCTCCGGTTCAAAGGTTTGGTGCTATACGAAGGTGTTGAACCCAATTCAGGGAGGCAGCGTGGGGCGAACATGTAATCTCCGAGAGGCGAATGATTTAACAGCTGTGTAACAGGTGATACGTGTTTCTTGTACCTCGCAAATCGGGCCAGGGCTCAAACTTCTCCGCAACGCCTGCTTGGCGAGAAGATTCGGTGATTTGCGAACAGCGGGCGATGCGCGAAACGCTCTTGCTCGATTTCCGCATCGTGATACATTGTCGCCCAAAACCTCCACACAATCATCCGCGCTTCTCGCTAAAATAGTCGCTACTAGGTCATATTCGCCAGCAGCTAGATATGCGTCAGCAAGCACGATTGCCGCTCGTCCAGATTCGATAGCCGTCACTATCGCCACACGTCTTGAAAAATGCTTACATGTTAGTACATTTTGCGCTGACACTGGCGGATCCGAATTGATGTCGCTCGTTCCAGTCTCCCGCAAACGCGCCTTGGCTGTAAACGACGATCGCGTAGCTCCGAGGATCTCCGTTTGCCACGAATAGTTAGTCGCTGAGCGAGGTAATTCGGCAGCCCATAGGCGATCGGCGGATTTTTTAAGAACTAGAGGCCTACGGTAGCGACGCGCTTTAAAAGGGAGAATAATGGGCTCGAATGCGCGTCGCAGCGCCACTCAAACGCCACGCACTTGCAATTGCCCTTCCGCCGCGTTTTCTTCCCAGTAGCACGCTGCTCGCGCGCGAGATGGGTTGGAAGCGGACGTGCGAAGATGACGCCTGACAACGGGGACGGCTGAGGACTGCGATGAAGCCATCTGAGAGAAGCAAACAGTGAGATGAATGAACGGACAGGATTGCTTTGCGAACGCAGCATGCATCATGTTACATGATGCCTCCATCCTGCCCTGATATCCATTCCCCTTTCCTCCTCTGCCTGCTCCACTCCCCCGTCAATCAAGCCCCCAACTCTGTTATCCACTCCAGGACTCTTTCTGGCGTGTTTCCTGTGCGTGAATCATGATTCCTTTTCCAAGTAATTCCTGCCTCTTGTGCCATCGGCCTGTCCTCACTCTCTTCCCGTATCCCCCCCTGCTGTGGAGGGCTGCTGATTTGTCTGGGGAGAAGCGGCTCCCAACAGGAACCTCTTTCTCTTCCCATGAGTCCTGCTCCCCATCGTTCACCCTTGCCTAAGTCCAAATGTACCTACTTCTAAAAGCATAGCGCTCTGCCTGTCTACTCTTTCCGGCTCGCGCCTCTACCTTCCGACCTGCTCCCCTCCAGCGACTGTTATCCGAACGAGAGATCGAAAAAGATCTGACCTGTTCCCCCCACTTCCCCATCCCCCCCCCTTCCCCGTCTCCTCCCCTCCATTTCCACCTCGCCTACCCGCTCCCTCTTTCTCACCCTCAAACACTCGCCTTCTCCTTCCCTTCGCCCCTGTGCTCTTCCTCATGTTTCAAATGGAGAGAGGTGAGGTGTGGGGAGAAATGGGTGTGGGTAGGGCACGAGGTGGCGGAGAGAGGAGAGGTGGTGGTGGTTGTTTGGGCTTACAGAAAGCGAGCCGGGTAGGTCTGCACCTGCTCCTCCAGTCCTCTGCCCCTCGAAATTCGCCCTTAAGCAAGCCATGGCTCTTGGGTGCATGTCACCTCAGTTGGACGAGAAGAGCTTCAAGGAGGAACGGGTGTAGAAGGACAGGATGTGGCGGGAGTGGCGAGGTCTGCATGTGGAGAAAAGAGTGTAGAAGGCCAGCAGGTGGTAACTTGGGCTACAGCAAGCGGGACGGGGAGCTGTCACCTGCAGTGTAAGGGGGACATATGATACATGAGCATGGGCCGGGCCGTGGGTCGGGCGGGGGCAAGATTTCGTTACTGTCGGCCCTCGTTGGGCCGGCCCGCCCCGCCACTCAGGGTCGGACGTGGCCTGAGTCGCGGCTCGGTTTTTAGGCATCGGGTTGTGACGGCCCTGGCAAATTTGGCCCAGGTCGTGCTGGATAGTGATGCACACGGCCCGAGCCGAACCTAGCCATGCGTGCCACGATTTGTGGGCGCGGGACGGGGAGTGGGGGTGGGGGTTGTGGGTGCGGCAAAGGGGCTTGGTGGTGTTACAAGGGAAAGAAGGGGTTGGGGTGGGGGGACAAGGGGGATATGCGGGCGCAAGCAGGGGTGTGTGTGTGTGCGTGTGGACGGGAGAAAGGAGTGATGTGGGTGCAGGCTGGCGAGGGTTCGCCTATGCTTGCCTCCATTGCTGCCTTGCCTTCTTACCTCTTCCCCTCCCCTCTATCCCCCCCTCGCCCATCGTTCCTCCCCATCCTTCTCCTCTCCCACTCGCAGCTAATGTCCCTTAGTGCAGACAGTTTGTTTGTGTGCTCATGCCTTTCCCCTTTTGCTGCCTTGCTTTCGTACCCCTTTCCCTCCCCCGCCTCCTTCCTTCCCAAACCCCTCATCCCCTCTTGAAACAGCTCATGTGCATTGGCGCTGACAGTGGGTTGGTGGCACAACGTGATGGCTGCTGAGGCAGGAAGGCCAGCTGAGGCAAGGCAAGGAGATGGGAGCATGGGAGCTTGCACACTCCTCAGAAACACATGACGCTGAAATAGTGGTCATGGTACCAGCATGGTGAGTGGGAAGAGAGATAAGGTGAATTGGTAAAGGAATCGACCACCCTCCTGGGTGACCATAGCAGGCATCGCATGAAGCGTTTCAGCCCCCTCCAACACCGCCTTCCATTTTCTTCCTTTCCTTCCCCATTCACCTCCCCCTGGACCTCTGAACCTCCCTTTTAATCCTGTATCCCTTCTACCAATCCCTCCTTCCTTGTCTCTCCCTTTCCCATTCCCCTTCTCCAAGTTCTTCGTACACCCCACTTCAGCCATCACACATAACATTTTAACCCATCACAACCATTTATTATCCAGCTGTCTTTCCCTTCTTGCGGTTCGCTCAGTAGACAAACCAAATGTCCTCCCGCATCCCATCATCTCCTCCTCTGCCCGCCATCACCCTCCCATCTGCTCCCCGACCAACCCAACCAGCAAGGGTGCTGGATGAGCAGCTGCCATATCCACACCCTGCTGTAACAGCATCAGTGGCGGTTGGGTCTATAGCATCTCCTCCCACCCCTCTCACGTCCTCCCACCCCTCTCACGTCCTCCCACCCCTCTCACGTCCTCCCACCCCACTCACCTCCTCCCACCCCACTCACCTCCTCCCACCCCACTCACCTCCTCCCACCCCACTCACCTCCTCTCGCCCCTCTCACCTCCTCCCACCCCACTCACCTCCTCCCACCCCACTCACCTCCACCAGTGCCGCGCTTATCCTGCCTCCCTTATCCGCCTGCCCTCCAACGGTCAGCAGCTCATCCATTCAAGTTACATCTCCATTGTGCCATGCCCATCAGTTCAACCCAAATCACCCTCTTTCATCTCTCTTTCCCTTCTTGCCATTCACCATGTGCATAAACCAACCGTCCCTCGCCTGCTGCGT